ACTCGGGCCATGGCTCTGTTCTCATTCCCATTTCTAAGTTCTAAAACCCAACTGTACCCTTCACCCTGGCTATGGCTTGGACTTCTCCCTTTAAACTCTGCTGTGGGGTCTTCTTGACCCATGATATACACATGGCAGGTACCCTAGCTCAATACCTCTGGGTTTTACACCTCACCCAGGCATGTCAAGACTTTTCCTATTTGACCTTTGTTCACTAATAAACTGGATTAATTCTGAATTTATGCTGTTACAATGCTTCCCCAAATAACATTCTGCATTCTCCCCCAATATATACCCTAAAATGCACATATACCCTGTCCATTCTTTGGGATTCATCTGAGTCCAGGATAACTGCTCAGGAAATCTGGTTAAGTAAAGCACAAGTTCCAGTTGTATTTAACTGGTGAAAAAAGCAAGCATCTTTTTCTGTTTGATTTTTTTAAGTTTTTTTCTAGTTTTTTTTTTTTTTCAGAGAGACAGAGAGAGACAGAGAGACAGAGAGAGAGAGAGAGAGAGTGTGTGTGTGTGTGTGTGTGTGTGTGTGTGTGTGTGAGCGGGGGAGGGACAGATAGAGAGGGAGACACAGAATCTGAAGCAGGCTCCAGGCTCTGAGCTGTCAAGCACAGAGCCCGATGTGGGGCTCGAACTCACAAACTACAGGATCATGACCTGAGCCGAAGCTGGATGCTTAACCAACTGAGCCACCCAGGCGCCCCAATTTCTGTCTGATTTTAAATTTTAGTTGTTAAGGGTGGAGGTGCTCTTTGGAGAGGATTTGAAGATGCTGTAAGTGAACCTATGATATTCTGGTCCTCTAATTAAATGTCTTGCTAATGACAAGATTGTATGTCACCATCTTTTTTAAAACAGATATTTATGTGTTTATTTCATAAACTCAAATTGTCTTTTCCCTTGAGCTGGTCTCTGTCAGTGCCATTAAGTAGGGGGTTTGGGCTCAGTTAGTCCTCAGTGTGACAGGGAAAAACTCCAATCCAAAACAAGCCTGTAAGCTTTGTTGTTTCCTCTGAGGAATCAAAAATAGAAATGTACTTGGTGGAAGGCTGACCTGATAGGTGCCTGGGATACCTTTGAGCTTCTGATAAAGCAGAGGGTAGTCATGGACATAATATGCAAAGAATAAATGGGTTTATTTTTCTTAAGAGGAGAGGCAGTTTAAAATAGATTCTTTCTTTACTTACTCTTTGTAACATATTGTATGTTTCTTATGAAAGGATTTCTTTTCCCACATGAAAACTGATATTCTCCTGCTCTGATATTGCAGTTACAGAAATTCTGATATAAGAAAAATATTCCACTTCATTCCAGAATTGAGTTTTCTAAATCATTTGAGTCATCCCACAGTAGCTTGCAATTCTGTGGGTGCTAAAAAAAAAAATACAACAACAACAAAAAAAAACCCAACTCTTTGTTGAATAATGCTTCTCCTGAAGAAGACCACATAGTAATTATCTTCTCCCTTTTAAAAGTGGAAAACAGTTACCCTTTGTAGATCCATAGCACCTACAGAGTTTAAAATATTCTTCAAGCAACTTGAAAATGTGTTACAATCCTAATCAGAAATAAAATTCAGTACTGTTCCCACTTCATAGGTATTAAAATGAGACATGGGGAAGAGAGTGCAGTCATTCAAATATAATAACTCATATTTATTGAGTCTTTAACATTTGCCAATCACTGTTCTGAATATGTACAAAGCTCACTTAACCCACATCACAATCCTATAAAGTTAGTACTATTATTATCCCCTTTTTACAGATGCACAAGCAGGTGTAAAGCAGTTGGGCAACTCACTTAAGGTCACGTAGACAATACGTGTAGGCTTGAGATTTGAATGTAGGCCTCCTGAGTCCATTGCTAACCTTCTTAATACTATTGTATGTTACCTTTTTTTCTCCATCTTTTTTGAAATATAATTGACAAAATTGTAACATATTTAAAGTGTACAATGTGATTATTTTATATATGTTCACATTGTGAAAGGATTTCCACAATCAAGTTAATTAACACATCCAATACTTCATATAGTTACCTTTTCTTTCTATTTTTAAAAAATTTATGTATGTATTTTGAGAGAGAGCGCCAGCTGCAGAGGGGCAGAGACAGAGGGATAGAAAGAATCCCAGGCAGGCTCCATGCTATCAGCACAGAGCCCGATGTGTGGCTGGATCCCATGACCTGTGAAATCATGACCTGAGCCACCATCTAGAGTCCAACACGTAACCAACTGAGCCACCCAGGTGCCCTCGTATAGTAACCTTTATTACAATGAGAATACGTAAGACCTATTCTCTAAGCCAATTTCAAGTACACAATACAGTATTATTAACTAAAGTCACGCAGCTGAATATTAGATTACCTTATAACTGGAAATGTATATCCTTTGACTTATATCTCACCATTTCCTTCATACCACTCCCTCCCACCCCCCTCCCCCACCCAAGTCCTTGGTTGCTACCATTCTACTCTTTGTTACTATGAGTTTAACACTTTTTAGGGTTTGGGTGTTTTTGTTGTTTTTTTTTAGGTTCCACATATAAGTGATACCATACAATACTTGTCTTTCTCTCTCTGGTTTATTTCACTTAGCATAATGCCCTCCAATTTCATCCCACAAATGGCAGGATTTCCTTATTCCTTATTTTCTGTGGCTGAATAGTATCCCATTGTGTGTATGTGCACACGTGCACATAGGCACATGCTCACATGCACATGCATGCATGGGTATCATATTTTCTTTACTCATTTATCCATTGATGGACACTTAGGTTGTTTCCATATCTCAGTTATTATGAATGCTTAAATGAGCATGGGAATACAGATATTTCTTGGAGATAATGACTTCAGTTCCTTTGGATACATATCCAGAAGTGGGATTACTAGATCAGATGATAATTTTATTCTTAATTTTGTGAGGAACCCCAATACTGTTTTCTATAATGGCTATGACAATTCATAGCCAAGTGCACAAGTCCTTTTCTCCATATCCTTGCAATATTTGTTATCTCTCACCTTTTTGATAATAGACATTCTAACAAGTGTGAGGAGATATCTCAGTGTGATGTTGACTTGCATGTCTCTGATAGGTAGTGATGTTAAGTATCTTTTCATATATTTGTTAGCTATTTATATGTCTTCTCCGGCAAAACGTCTATTCAGGTCTTTTGCCCATTTTTAAATCAGGTTATTTGTTTTTGTTTTTTGTGTTTTTTTTCTGTTTTTGTTTTTTGTTTTTTTTTTTTGTTTTTTTTTTGTTTTGTTTTGTTTTGTTTTGTTTTGTTTTGTTTTGTTTTGTTTTTTTGGTTTGGTTTTGCTATTGAGATGTAAGAGTTGCTTATATATTTTGGATATTAATGTCTTACTGGACATATAGTTTGAAGATATTTTCTTCCATTCCATAGGTTCCCTTTTCTTTTCTTTTTATTTTTTCATTTGTTTCTTTTGCTGTGCAGAAACTTTTATTTTGATGTAGTGCCACTTATTTTTGCTTTTGTTGCGTGTGCTTTGGTGACATATCAAACAACCATTGCATTGACCAATGTCAAGAAGCTTTTCTCCTACATTTTCTTTTAGGATTTAATGGTTTCAGGTCCCACCTTTGAGTCTTCAATCTCCATTGTGTTGATTTGTGTGTATGGTACAACAGTGTAATTTTTTAAATGTGGCTCTCCAGTTTTTTCAAGATAATTTTTCAATAAATTATATATTTTGGGCAACCTTGTTGAAAATTAGTTGGCCATATATGTGTGGGTTTTTGTTCTGGCTCTTTATTCTGTTCCACTGATCCGTGTTTGTTTCTATGTTAACACCATACTGTTTTTGATTATTATACTTGGTGATATAGTTTGAAATCAGGAAGTGTGCTACCTCCACCTTTGCTCTTCTTGCTCAAGATTGTTCTAGTTATTTGAGGTCTTTCATAATTCCACACAAATTTTAAGATTCTTTTTTTCTATTTCTGTAAAAAAAATGGCATTGGAGTTTTCATAGGGATTATATTCAATCTGTAGATTGCTTTTAGTATGGATGTTTTAACAGTGTTAATTCTTATAATTCATGAACATGGGATATCTTTTCAATAATTTGTGTCTTCATCAATTTCTTTCATCAATGTTTTATAGTTTTCAGTATACAGTTTCACTTCCTTGGTAAAATTTATTCCGAAGTATTTTATTTTATTTCTGTTGCTATTGTAAATGGAATTTTTTTTTAAATTCCAATGCAGGGTTTGAACTCACAAACTGTGAGATTATAACCTGAGCCAAAGTTGGACACTCAACCAACTGAGCCACCAAGGTGCCCTAAAGCCAAACCAATTCTTGAAAAATTTAAACTGCAGGTGGGTCTAGATGTTCAGAAGACAAGTCTAGTGCTTGATGGTACCTGGTTTTAAATATATATATATACATATATATTTGGTA